CACCGCAGTAACCCGTAGCCACCCCCCCGCCCACTGCCCCACACCGAGTAGTTCTCCCCTATCAAGTGCTCAGGCGCGTCTCCCGGGGGACAGAGGGCATGTGGGGGATTTGCCTCCTAGGACCCCAATGACCTCCTGGCTCTTGGCTCCACCCCCTCCCCAACCACTAGACCCCACTCCCCTCACTTTGCCAAGCAAAGAACCCAGGAGTCCTGCCTCTCTCCATAACCACTAGCCCCCACTCCCTTCACGGCCAATCTGCGTAGCAGAGTAATTACGGTACTAGCAGACACGACTGTATATGAGTGTAATTATGACAGGAGTACACCCCATGCCAGCTCCTACCACCCCGCTGCACCTGCAATGCAGCATATACCCAGGCTGGGGTGCACATGTGGGTAATTATGGTAGCAGGGACCCGCCCCCCACTCCCACGGGTCCCAGGTACCTGCAGGCACGAGGGGCAGCTCGGCCTGGCTCTGCCCGTGGGCGTTGGCGGCGGCGCAGGACACGTTGGTCAGGGCCCCGGCCGGGCCCCTCAGCTCCCCGCTCACGGCCGGGCCTCGTGCCCAGGACTTGGCCCGCAGCTCAGGGCCCTCGAAGTCTCCGGGGACGGCGCGGTTGGGCAGGTGCCACTGGAGGTGGGGTGGGGGGTTCCCCTCGGCCGCACAGTAACATGTGGTCGCCCCCCCGGGCGCGCTCAGCTCCGGCGCGTCTGCAACAGGACACAGGGCGTGTGGGGGATTTGCCTCCTGGGACCCCACTGACTTCCTGGCTCTCAGATCCACCCCCTCCCCAACCACTAGCCCCCACTGCCCTCACATTGCCAGGCAGAGAACCCAGGAGTCCTCCCTGTCTGTGTAACCACTAACCCCCACTTCCTTCACGGAGCTGCACAGGGAGACTCACAGCCGACGTGGAGCCGGAGGGCTCGGCGGGTGGACACCCCGACCGCAGGGTACGTGACGGTGCAGCCGAGTTCTGTGCCATTGTGCGCCAGGGTGGGCGTGAAGCGGAGCACGGAGCTGTAGGAGACGCTGCCGTTCCCCTGGGGCTCTGAGACGTCCATGGCCGTGGAGTCGAACCCTCCTGTCCAGGTGATTTGGGGAGGGGTCCCAGAGCAGGTGCCTGGAGCCTGGCAGGTCACATTCACTGGCTGCCCGGGCTTCAGCACCTCAGGGACCCTCAGGACTGGCTGGTCCCTCAGCTCTAGGCAGGAGAAACCATTAAGATTCAGCCCTGTGGGAATTACTGTGGTGAGTCCCTGGAACTCCCTGCTGCTGGATATTATTGAAGCTAACCCATGGACCTCCCTGCCACTGGGTATTATTGGGGTAACCTTTGAAACTCCCTGCCACTGGGTATTTTGGGGACTGAACCATGGAACTCCCCACCACTGGGCATAGCCAAACTCAGTATTACTGGGGCCCCTGCTGCACCTGTGACGTTCACCAGCAGCTGGAACTCCAGGTAGCTGTATTTGCTCTCTCCCTTCTCGAAGCGGAAGTAGTAGCGCCTCCTGTCGTCAGCCCGCACGTCACTGATGATCAGGGAGCAGTCGTCCTCGGCCTCCCCAGCCAGGCGGATCCGACCCCTGGGCTCCTTCGGGGGCCTGTCCGGGTTGGTGCTGACCACGGGCACACTGCGGTGCCAGTTGGTGTCTCTGAGGAACCAGTATTTGTAGACAGGCCCGGGGGACTTGAAATTGGCTGTGAAATTGCAGGGGAGCAGCACGCAGAGGCCCTGCTGCACCGTGACATGGGGCGCCACCTGGATCCGATAGACCTGCCCCTGGGAGAGCTGGGCTGCAGGGGAACAGACGAGCACTGGTAGTACCCCTGGATCCTGACCCACAGCCCCCAGCTCTGCCAGTACCCCCAGCCCCCAGCTCTGCCAGTGCCCCCCAATCACGACCCACAGCCCCTAGCTCTGCTAGTGCCCCCAAAACCGTAACCCACAGCCCCCAGGTATGCCAGTGCCCCTCAACCGTGACCTGTAACCCTTTCCAACTCAGCCCGTGGGCTTTGGCGGTGGCACAGAACACGTTGGCCAGGGCCCCGGACGGGCCCTGCAGCTCCCCGCTCACGGCCCGGCCTCGCTCTCAGGACTTGGCCCACAGCTCAGGGCCCTCGATGTCCCTGGGGCTGGTGCGGCTGGGCAAGTGCCACTGGAGGTGGGGCGGGGGGTTCCCATCGGCCGCGCAATAGCACGTGGCCGCCCCCCCAGGCCCGCTGCCCCACACCGTGCAGTTCCCCCCGGCAGTAGCTCTGGCACGTCTGCAACGGGACACAGGGCGTGTGGGGGATCTGCCTCCTGCGACCCCAATGCCCTCCTGGTTCTCCACTCCACCCCCTCCCTAACACCTAGCCCCCACTCCCCTCACATTGCCAGGCATAGAACCCAGGAGTCCTGCCTCTCTGTGTAACCACTAGCCCCCACTCCCTTCATGGAGCTGCACGGGGCAACTCACAGTCAACGTGGAGCCGGAGGGCTCGGCGGGTGGACACCCCGACCGCAGGGTACGTGACGGTGCAGCCGAGCTCTTTGCCATCGTGCGCCAGGGTGGGCGTGAAGCGGAGCACGGAGCTGTAGGAGACGCTGCCATTCCCCTGGGGCTCTGAGACGTCCATGGCCGCGGAGTCGAACCCTCCTGTCCAGGTAATTTGAGGAGGGGTCCCAGAGCAGGTGCCCGGAGCCTGGCAGGTCACATTCACTGGCTGCCCGGGCTTCAGCACCTCAGGGACCCTCAGGACTGGCTGGTCCCTCAGCTCTAGGCAGGAGAAACCATTAAGATTCAGCCCTGTGGGAATTACTGTGGTGAATCCCTGGAACTCCCTGCTGCTGGATATTATTGAAGCTAACCCATGGACCTCCCTGCCACTGGGTATTATTGGGGTAACCTTTGAAACTCCCTGCCACTGGGTATTTTGGGGACTGAACCATGGAACTCCCCACCACTGGGCATAGCCAAACTCAGTATTACTGGGGCCCCTGCTGCACCTGTGACGTTCACCAGCAGCTGGAACTCCAGGTAGCTGTATTTGCTCTCTCCCTTCTCGAAGCGGAAGTAGTAGCGCCTCCTGTCATCAGCCCGCACGTCGCTGATGATCAGGGAGCAGTCGTCCTCGGCCTCCCCAGCCAGGCGGATCCGACCCCTGGACTCCTGTGGGGGCCTGTCCGGGTTGGTGCTGGCCACAGGCACACCGTGATCTTTGTCGGCGCCTTCAAGGAACCAGTATTTGTAGAGAGGCCCGGGGGACTCGAAATCGGCTGTGAAATGGCAGGGGAGCAGCACGCAGAGGCCCTGCTGCACCGTGACATGGGGCGCCACCTGGATCCGATAGACCTGCCCCTGGGAGAGCTGGGCTGCAGGGGAACAGACCAGCACTGGTAGTACCCCTGGATCCTGACCCACAGCCCCCAGCTCTGCCAGTACCCCCCCAACCCTGACCCACAGCCCCCAGCTCTGTCAGAGCCCCTCAACCACAATCCACAGCCCCCAGCTCTACCAGTGCCCCCCAATCACGACCCACAGCCCCTAGCTCTGCTAGTGCCCCCAAAACCGTAACCCACAGCCCCCAGGTATGCCAGTGCCCCTCAACCGTGACCTGTAACCCTTTCCAACTCAGCCCGTGGGCTTTGGCGGTGGCACAGAACACGTTGGCCAGGGCCCCGGCCGGGC